TTTTGTGAACTTTATGTGCCTTTGTGGTTTACTTTTTGGGCATGAAAAGCTGGTTCCTCTAAGCTTCCAGTTCTCTCTTTTGATTTTACATTGGAGTGGCCAGATTGCTTTTGTCTTCAGGAGTTCCCACAGAGGCTCAAGTCAGATTAGGATCAGATGCTCTCAGGCTTTCTCCTAAGGTCTGGATCCTTCCAAGATAGATTTTGGCCCCAGGAATTTGGGGGTTGGACTGGCCTGGGAGCCAGGCCCAGGTAAGATGTTGGTTTAGGGCAGCTGGTGGCTGTGCCACCCAGAGATGCAAAGGAAGATGGGGGTGGGAAGCGGCCCCAATGGTTTCTGGGGACTGCACTGAGGAGCCGGGTTGGTCTGGATGCAAAGGATCAGGAAGAGGAGAGGTCAGCCCTGGCATCCAGGAAAGAGGCTGGCTGGTCCTGCAGGCCCAGGGAAGTAGAGGGAGGTGGGGGGGGGCAAGTCCAGAGTGCTCCCCTGAGAGAGAGCCTGTGGATCGGAGAGAGGCCTGCGGGTTGTGCAGGCCCAGGGAAGCATAGTCTCTTGTTGGATTTTTGAGGCCAGCATGGAATCTGGACTCAGTGACTGCTATAATCATTTTGTCTGAGTCCTCAGTCACACTTAGAAGCAGCCTGGATGGGGAAATGGCAAAATTCTAGGCCTGTCCTTTTGGTTGAAGTTAAAATCCCATCTAAACAAAGACAAAAAATAGGACTGGGACTATAGCTCAGTGTTTGAGTGCTTGTGTAATATGTATGACACTGTAGGTTCAATCCCCAGCACCACAAAACAATTTAAAAATTAAAAACAAGCTGGGCGTGGTGGTGCACACCTTTAATCCCAGCACTCAGAAGGCAGAGGCAGGCAGATCTCTGTGAGTTCAAGGCCAGCCTGATCTACATAGTGAGTTCTAGGACAGCTGGGGATACAGGGAGACCCTGTCTCAAAAAAGACCCCAAAAAAAAAAAATTAAATTAAAAACAAAATCTGTAAAAGAAAAAAGCAAAAGTAGTGTCCTGGGAGTTCTCAGGGGCCCATCCATTGTTCTCTGCCTCTGCAGCCTGAGCTGGGCAGAGTCAATCTGGGAAGACTCGCTTTGAGAACATTTGCTGTCAGAACAAATCACATCGTAATAAACTGTTCCTGTTCTTTTATAGTACCAATAAACTGCTCCTGTACTTTTATGGTATCAAGTGCTTAAGATAGGTGGCCCTTGAGCTGGGCCTAGAAGCCTGTCCTACTGGAAATGTGCTGGTTGTGATTGTTGCTTTCAAAATGCTTGTGGTGCATCTCAGAAAATGCTGATGTGGCATCCTGTCATATACCAGCAGTAAATTCAGTTTACCATTAGTTAAATCAGGTTATAAGCTAAGCCAACTTCTGCTGAAAAAGCTGTTGAGTAGGTACAGCCTGGAAACAAGAGCTAGGCCAGTGTGCCTTCACATAGTATCACCAGAGTCTCCCCCAGTCTGCATGCTGGCTTCTGTTGGTCACATCCTCTCTCTGTTTCTCACTTTGTTCCTCTCCTCCCCCTTTTCTTTTCTCTCCCTACTTCTCTTATCACTCCTTTTCCTTTTTATCCTTCCCCACAACCTCACGGGAACTGTCCTTTTTGGAGAATCTGTCCAGTCTAGAGACCTTAAAAGGCAGTTTTGGGGTTCAGGCTCAGGTTCAGTCAATTAGAGCCAACAGAACATTTTGTTTTGCTTTAAGTACATGTTTGCTATTCTCAGAGGGAGCAGTAGGGGGCAGTGTAACTGACAGATGCTTTGACACTTGAGGCCTATCTACTCAAGTAAATTATTTTGGTATACTTTCATATTTCACTTTTAAAAAGTAAGAGAATGTATAGGAAAACACTCTGAAAACTGTAAAACACTGTAATTTGGAGATGTTCATGTAAAAAAAAATAGTGTCTTACTGGAAGCCATTCAGTGAAGCTCAACTTCTTGGTTCACACCTATAATTCCATCACTTGGGAAGCTGAGACAGGGGATTGCCACAAGTTCAAGGCTAGCTGGAGCTACATAGTGAGTTCCAGACCAGCCTGGGCTATAGAGTGAGATCTTATCTCAAAAAGTAACCAAGGGGCTGGAGAGATGGCTCCGTGGTTAAGAACACTGGCTGTTCTTGCAGAAGACCTGTGTTCGAAACCCAGCACCCACATGGCAGCTAACAACTGTAACTGCAGTCTGTAACTCCAATTCCAAGGGATCCAACAGCCTCTTCTGTCCTCCACCAGTGTTGCACGACACAGTTGCACTTACACATATGCAGGCAATACACTCATGCACATAAAATAAAAATAATAAATAAAATATTTTTAAAAAAAGCAACCAAGCAGGACTGGAGAGATGGCTCGGGTAAGAGCATTTACCTGTGCAAGCATAAGGTCCTGATTTCAAATCTACAACACCCATGCAAAAAGCTGGGAACTCCAGTATTGGGAAAGAAGACAATTGGAGGTCATTGGTCATCCAGCCTATCCACAATGGTGAGCTTCTGGCTCAGTGAGAGATCCTGGCTCAAGGCAGTAAGGTAGCGAGCAGTAGAGGAAGACATTATCCTGTTCTGCTTCTGTATACTTGCATATCCATACATTCATGAGCGTACACTGCCCATACAACACTATGTGTACACACATACACACAACCAATCAATCAAACAAATACAATAATACCTATCTTTATTTTTTTCTGGAGTCATGTAGCAAAATGTAAAGGAATAAATAAACTTGTAGAAACACAAAATTTCTAAATTCAGCTTACTACTTTTTATATAAGTGGTTGCTAAGCTTGTTTCAGATAGCTTTGTTAGGGGACCTAGGCTATACTTCAGTGGTAGCTCAGTGGTAGAGCACTCATCTAGTAGTATGCTCAAGGTTTAATCTCCCTCACAGGGAGATGAGGGATTATTAAATAGTTTTGTCTTGGTTTTGATTTCTGAAAAATTTCCAAATATATTTCTTTGTCTCAATCAAAAGGGAGAATTACCAAGATCTTCATCACACATCTTCATGGAGACCACTTCTTTGGCCTTCCCGGGCTCCTCTGTACAATCAGTCTACAGAGTGGCTCTGCGGTCACCAGACAACCCATTGAAATCTATGGCCCTGTAGGGCTTCGGGACTTTATTTGGCGAACCATGGAGCTCTCCCACACAGAGTTGGTCTTTCCTTATGTGGTCCATGAGCTAGTACCGACAATCGATCAATGTCCTACAGAAGAACTAAAAGAATTTCCACATGTGGATGAAGCAGACAACTCCCCCAAAGAAGGACAAGGACGAACTATCCTGTTAGACTCAGAAGAAAATTCATACCATCTAGTTGATGATGAGCAATTTGTTGTAAAAGCATTTCGCCTCTTTCACAGAATTCCCTCCTTCGGCTTTTCAGTGGTAGAAAAGAAGCGACCAGGTAAACTCAATGCACAGAAGCTAAAAGATCTTGGTAAGTGTGCTTTTCCTTCTTAGTGCTGGAGCCTTTTTTTTTTCTTTCCCTCCCTCCACTAGAGCCCTTATACTCTCTTGTCCCTGCTACTGTCTGCTTTGTTGGCAACCCCAGCTGTTCACCGTTGTCTAGCTGGTGAATCTAGTCAGCGATCTAGAAGTCTTTGTTCCAGGAGGGTCAGCTGTTCCTGATCTAGCAGCAATCAGTTGTCAATATTCCTTTAGATAAGATTGGGGTCTGCTGTTCATTTTCCCAGTTCTATGCTGGGTTACTATTTGGGAGTCCCTTTGGTCACCCTAGCCAACAACTCAAAAGAAGGTATCGCCTGTCTGGCACTGTTGCTTGTTATGTAGCCTTTAGCTATACATATGGACTCTTAAGAAATTATATTAGCCTCTTTAATCTTTGGTTATACTTTCCTTTTGGGTGTTTAAGGCCATACAGTTGGCCCAGATAAACCTTTTTAACAGAAGCCATTAGAGGTGTCAGAGTAACCCATTTTCCTGTATGGTAAATGTAAACAGTTACTTTCTTGGCCTAAATTTTGCTTATTAAGAACATTCTGGAGACCCAAAGATGCTATTCAGAACAAAACTCAAATGTGCAGTATATTTGTATTCTTGTTAGCTTTCTAGATCCACAGTTTTGTTTTGTTTTTGTTTTTCTTTCTCTCTTTGTTCATATTGGGAATTGAATCTAGGGCACAAGCTAGGCAAGTACTCTCTGCCTTTGAGCTGTATTTTTAACCCTTTGATTATTTTTTGCTTGAGACAGGGTCTCACTAAGTTGCCCAAGTTGGCCTTAAACTTGTGATCATCCTGCCTCAGTTTCCTGAGAAGCTGGATTATACGCCTGTGGTACCGGGCCTAGCTCTATTTTGGTTCACAAGGTGGTTCGAGTTGGTGATAGTTTAAATCCATAATTTATTTTCATTTCCTTTTTGTTTTGGGTTTTTGTTTGTTTTTTTGACCATGCTAGGGTTCCAACCCAGGACCTCCATGTTCTAGGCATGTGCTTTTGGTTGACAAGGTGGTTTGAGTTGGTAATTCATGATTTTTCTTTTTTATTTTTCGGTCTTTTTGAGACAATGTCTCCCTGTAGCCCCAGCTGTCCTAGATTCACCGTGGAGACCAGGCTGGCCTCAAACTCACAGAGATATGCCTGCCTCTGCCTCCCAAGTGCTGGGATTAAAGGCATGCGCCACCATGCCCGGCGGTAATTCATGATTTTTAAAAAATATTTTATCATTTTAAATTTATGTATATGAATGTATTGCTTGCATATATATAAGTACACTCATGTTGTAAAATGCCCACAGAGGTCAGAAGAGGGCATTGGATTCCCTGGAACTGGAGTTATGGACGGTTGTTTGCCACTGTTTGGGTGTTGGGAATCAAACCCTGGTCTTCTACAAGAGCAACCAGTGCTCTTAACTGCTGAGACATCTCTCCAGCCCCCTAAGAATAATTTTTATTTCCTTCTGCTTTCCTTTTTATTTTATTTTGGGTTTCTTTTTGTCTATGTTAGGGTTCAAACCCAAGGTCTCCCATGTGCTTTTGCCACTGAACTATACCCCTGATCTCCATGTCTTATTTTTGAAGTGTTTTTTTTTTTTAATTCCTGTTTCTACTTTTTATTTTTGTTTGATATAGGGCCTCACTCTAGCCCAGGATGGCCTAGAACTCATTATTGTAGTCTGGTTTCAAACTCATGATCCTCCTGCCTCTCTGCCTCTAGATTGGTAAGAACTAGAGATATGCACATTCTTGAAGTATGCTTTCAAAGACATCTTTGTGTAGGGTATGTATGTGTGTCCTCACCTGTGTGTGCATGTGGAGGCCAGAGGTTAGCATCAGGGACCATCCTCAGTTGCCCTCCATCTTATTTTTTGAGACAGGCTTCTCACTGCACCTAGAGCTTGTCGTTGTGGCTAGATTGGCTAGCTCATGAGCCCCTAGTGTCCATCAGCCCCCTGTCCTTCTAAGGCTGATTTACATATGCACGCTGCCATGCCTATCTTTTACATGAGTGCTAGTGGTCTGAACTCAGACCCTCATGCTTGCTCAGCAAGCATTTTACCCACTGAGGCTTCTCCACAGCCCTTCAGTGACATCTGTAGTCTGAGAACTTTTGCCATGGTTCTTACCCTTACAATAACAGCCAGCTACCTCAAGGATTTCTTTCTCTGTCTACCTTGCTTACTCATTCAACATTGACTAAATTGCTAAATAATAACGAAAAGTGACTTAAGCTAAAGGTATTTTCGTTATCTAAAAGCTTGTAGAAATGCTATTATATTTGGAAACTTTAAACATTATCTCTACTAGAATTGGTGATCATACACTTGTTTATAAGAATTATCCAGAGTGTTAGTCTAGACTACTACAACACTGAACTTTGGAAATCTGGAACTGCCACTATCCACCAAGATTAAATGTGTATGAAAAATTACATTTATTTATTTATTTTGTGTGTGTGCGTGTGTGTGTGTTCACTCACCATGTTGTGCATATTGAAGTCAGAGGATAACTTGAGGGAGTTGGTTCTCTCTTTCCACCATGTGGATCCAGGGCTCACACTCAGGTTGTCAGGCTTAGCTACGAGTATCTTTTTTAAAAAATATTGTATTTATTATTTTTATTTTATGTGTATGAGTGTATTGCCTGCATGTAGGTAAGTGCACCCATATCACGAAATGCCCATGGAGGACAGAAAAGGCTGTCGGATCCCCTGGAACTGGAGCTACAGACAGTTGCTAGCTGCCATGTGGATGCTGGAATTTGAACCTGGGTCTTCTGCAAGAACAGCCAGTGTTCTTAACCACTGCGCCATCTCTCCAGCCCAGCTACAAGTATCTTGACCCACTAAGCTATTGCATCTTATAAGCCTAGTCTTATGATCCAAATAGTCCTCTCTGATAAGTTTCTTATTAAGTTAGTCAGTTCATAGGAACCTGTCTTGACTAGGGATATTGATTATGTCATTGTTTAGATATGCTTTTGTATTTGACCCAAAGATGAGCTTATATGAAACAAAGCATCCTCAAAAACTATTATTCCTGGGTAAAGCAGAAAACCGAAGCTGGTATCTTGTGGCTGTAGTAAGGTAGAATTTAGCATAAAAGTCATCTCATACATGTGCATGGGAAAATTTATAAGTATAAAATTGCTAATACCCAGCAGCCAACACTGAACTTTTAAAATGTATAAATATTCTAGTTTTCTATAAGTAGGAAAACATAATGGTTATGAAAGGAATTGAATGCCTTTTCTATTTGCTGTGCTGTTAAAGTAGCCTATTAACAAGTCATAATTCTGTACCTAATATAATATTATCTGCTTCACCATCAGGCGTTCCACCAGGTCCTGCTTATGGGAAGCTGAAAAATGGTATTTCTGTTGTTTTGGAAAATGGAGTTACAATTTCTCCCCAAGATGTCTTAAAAAAACCCATCATTGGAAGAAAGATCTGCATATTGGGTGACTGTTCTGGGGTTGTGGGTGATGGAGGAGTGAAGCTGTGCTTTGATGCAGACCTGTTGATCCATGAGGCGACCCTGGATGATTCCCAAATGGACAAAGCAAAGGAGCACGGCCACAGCACTCCACAGATGGCAGCAAGGTTTGCAAAGCGGTGCTGTGCGAAGAGGCTGGTTCTGACTCACTTCAGTCAAAGGTACAAACCGATTGCCTTGGCCAGAGAAGGAGAAACAGATGGCACTGCAGAACTGAAAAAGCAAGCTGAGTCAGTGCTAGGTCTCCAAGAAGTGACTCTGGCAGAGGATTTTATGGTGATTGGCATTCCCATCAAGAAATGAAATCAGCGCTCCCAAACGCTTATGGACTTGCCTATGAATATGCCGCCAAAACAAAACTGCACTCCCGATTTTTGGTGTTTTGATGTTGGTAGTTTTGGGGGGTTTTTTTGTTTTTGTTTTTGTTTTTCTTGTAAAATTATTTTGGCTCTAATAATCCTAAAAAATGGAGTTTTGTTGCTGAGCTGACTCAGTAGTGAGAGGAAACAAGATTTTAATAATAAATCACTTTTTAAAAGATAAAAGAAAATCCAGCATTCTTCTCATTTTGTGGCTACTGCCACAGATGCCAATACTCCAGGCAGCCTTGGCCTTACCTTTGCTCCACTTAATTACCATTATTGGCAGAGTTTCCAGGATATGGCCCTCTTGACTAAAAAAAATGCTACTTTGGCAGTTTATACAGAACTTGTGTTATTAACATAGATAAAGATAGTTGAGGCCGTCTATGTGCAGTAGTGATAGTAGCAGGCTGATGGTTTTGCCGGAATACTCAGGCAGGTTTGGGCCAGGTATTTATCTTAGCATTTTATTCAGCATTCTGGTTTTCTTTTAACCCATGGTTCTAGGTACTCCCCCAGGAATTAGATATTGTGGAAATTGTCTTTCTTCTCAGTGATTGAAGGGGGTGGTGGTAGCTCCTTGTCACAGTGATTGAAGGGGGTGGTAGTAGCTCTGATGTTTAGTCAGAAGGGTCAGGAATGCCATATGTTCTGCACAGTTCGGGTTAGTCCTGCATAATAATTGCCTAATGTTAAAATGCAAATTGTAGTGAGAGACACAAGTTAAAACATATTCCCAATGTGAATATGCTTTGCCAAAATTAGTGACATAATGAGTTGAATTAATAGATAAGCTGAGTCTTTCAATAGAGGTTCAATATGTCAGAATTGAAATGCCATCTCAAATATTATTTGGAAAAAATTAGTCATCAAGTGAAGCTTATGAATGTGGGGATAAAAATGGTACCTATCAAACTAAGGTTTAATTTACATGTCCCTAGTAATACTTCTTTAAGCATAATTTTAATGTGTTCTTTCTAGAATAGCTTTTCCTTGTGAGTCGCCTTCCACTTCCTTTCTCTCTGTTGTTCGACATCTCTGAATCACTTGCCTCACAGGATTTCTAAGTATGTTCCATAGGAAGTTAGTGTAGAGTACTGAGTCATTCAAATGGCTTCCTCAACAATTCAGTCTGGGGAATTTTGTGTCCTCGGACTGGGCTAGTGCCCATCAACACAGTAAAAGCAGCATTGCTTATAATGATCAGAAAACAGCCTTTGGTACCAGCAAAACCTGATTTCAGAGTTGCATTCTGTATCTTCCTTTCTGTGGCATGGAATAGGTTATTTATTATTTCTTAGTGTCTTCAGCTTCCTTATCTCTAAAATTAAAAAGAATGAAGCCTACTTCACAGGATTGTTGTGAGGTTATGTAAGGCAGTGCACTCATGGAGTGCAGCAGTGCATGAAGGTGTGGAGAAGTCCTGCAGGGCAGCGGCTGTCAACTCTATTGAACCCCTTTCTCAGTCCTCTCTTAACATTACAAGAGCCTAGACACTTTCAAGTATACATGTTCAGAGACATTGTCAGTGTTTGCTGTTAAATTCCTTTGACTTCTAGGGTTTCTCTGGTTAAAATTTGGAGCTGCTGATTGGTTGTGGAGACTGTTACAGCAGGGATGATCAGGACAGCTATTTTACTGTATCATTTGCAGTTTCTAAAATGGTTGGATTCTATCTGATTCTAGGGTCTCTGCCCTCAAGTTTGGTCAGGTTTAAAATGTGACTTGATTTCCAAGTTCAATTTATGGAAGCATTAATCAGATACTTATGTGCCCAAATATATACAAGAAGGAATGGCTAGGACTGTTATCGCCACTGCATGGAGCCCTTGAGGGTGATGGTAATGTCTTGGTCACCTCTACATCCTTAGAATGTCTACTTATAGAAAGGATGCATGTAGTTTTTGAATGAACTGAAGCCTTGATATCATGTGTACACACTACAAGGTATTCTTACATATTTATGCCTAGCTCATTTCATTATTGTATTGGTCAAGAATATTTTTTCAGCTCTGGGATTGAACTCAGGACCTTGTGTGTACTAGGCAAGCAGTCTACCAGTGAGCTACATCTCAGCCCCAAATGGCTTTTTCTTGAATCTTTTTTTCATGAATCTTAAGAAACAATTCTCTACCAAGCAAACATTGCTTTTTATGATTCAAAGTTTATTAAAAGAACATCAGTGAGTCATGAATATTAGAAAGCAGTTAATATAGGGTCCATTTGGGCAATGCCTTCTTCCCTGAGTGCCAAATGTGTGCCAGGTTTTGTGTTTTAGCCACATTCCTGAGCTTGCAGTCTAGTCCTAGTGGTAGACAGATAAGTAAACAAATATCTAGCTCCTTTGTGTGTTCCCATTGTATAGCCTGGCACTCAATTTTACTCCTCCTGAGTGTTACTTGGGAGCTAACTTGAACCATGCTTTTAGAATCAGGCTCTATAAATAAACGTGGGCTAAGCCCCCAGAGACCATGGAAAAGGACTGAGATGTTGGCCCAGTGTAGGGGATCAACTCAGGGTGAGAATTCTTTCTGGACCCTCCTCTGGCCTATAATTTATTTTTAATCATAGCAGAATTCAGAGAATTTGTAGAGCTAGAATTAACAGTGGAGCTTATGTTAGACTTCTCAGAACCTAGAATGGTCTCATGGTTAACAGAGAGAAAATGGTTTCTAATGTTTGCTGTGCCCAAACATGTTTGATCACTGAATCCCATTTTTGCTATGGAACACATTGGATTACTGAGAAATGCTATTCCTTTTACTTCTGAAATCATTACATTGATATGTTTTTCCTTCACCATTTATTCAGGTAATGATTTCCATATCTACACTTAGTACAGTACTTTGCCCTAGCCTGACTTTCAACTGTCAAGAGTTTATAGATAAATGCTTATTTTAGATTTAAAAATACGTACTGTCCAGGTCTCAGAAGTTATTTAGACTTGCCAAATGGGCCCTAAATCAACTTTGTTTTTAAATACTCAGGCCACATGTTCTTAATAAACTTTGAGTCATAAAAGCAATATTTGCTTGGTAGAGAATTGTTTTTTAGGAGTCAAGAAAAGATGACTCTTCATAATTCTGCCACCTAGAGAGAGCTTCTGCTTCCAGCCTAGTGGCCTTGAAGCTGCAGTACGAGTTGAGTGTAGGTGGACAGAGAGCCTTTGCCTCTGCTTCCAAAGACAAAGTGAGTAGATCCAGAGAGGAACCCGAGACTGCATTTCTGATAAGCCTCCCATATGGTTCTGAAGGGTATGGGTGGTAGACTAGTAAAAAGAAAAAATAAAAAAGTTTTTTTCTATGTATGTAAATTGAGGGTATATATATATAGATATAGATATAGATATTTTATATATACTTATACATGTGTGTATCTTACACGTACATATTTTTACATGTAGGTTAAACTCCCTATTTTCTTAAAGTAAAATATATTTTATTGGCCAAACAAAATATAAGAGTTTATTATCAGAAAACCCACTATAAGAAACTCTAAGGCATTATTTTTGGCAGTAGGAAGATAATATCAGATGGAAGAATAAAAAAGTATAAAGGGACAAATTAATGAACGAAGGAGGGAACAGTCACTAAGGGCTTTAAAACAAAACACCTGACAGAAGATGAGTCCTCAATATTTTTTCATAGCACCATATGTTCTCTGAAAGTGTCAATTTAGTAATCATATAGTTCTATAGTTGTAGTATCACTTAGTCTCTTTATTTTGGAGCACTGAGATTATTTACTGTTTCTAAAATTGGATACTCTTGTGCATAAATACTTAGATCTCTGAGTATTTCCCTCTTTGTAATTTATTTCTGAGTATTTAAATACTTTCTTTATTATTTTTATGTGTATGAGTGTATTGCCTGCATGTATGTGAGTGCACCTGTGTCATTCTATGCTGCGGAGGTCAGAGGAGGTCAGAAGAGGGCTTCGGATTCCCCTGGAACTGGAGTTAAGGACGATTCGTAGCTACCATGTGGGTGCTGGGGATCGAACCTGGGTCCTCTGCAAGAGCAGTCAGTACTCTTAACCACTGAGCCATCTCTCCAGCCCTTTCTCTGAGTATTTAAACATCTGACAGTCAGCAATGATGGCACAAATCCATAATCTCAGCAAGCATTTGGGAGACTAAGGCAGGAGAATTTCAGACCCAGGCCAGCCTGGGCGATGCAGTGGGACTCTTATCTTTTTTTAAAAAAAAAAAATTCCCATATGTTTTCAGGTTCTTTTAGAAATCACCTCCTTGTTGCCATGCTCATTCATGTTCCTGATAGCCAAGGGGCGTGGCCTGTTATTCCACTGAAGATATGGACTTCATCAGATAATAGCCTCTCTAAACCCCACCCCCTGTCTTCTCTCCTTTTTAACAAGGTCTCTCTGTATAGCTCAAGCTGGCCTCAAGCTTGCAGTCCTCCTGCCTGAGTGCAGGGAGTATGTGCCACCAGACCTGGCCATAACCTTTTGAATGCTTCTGTCCCAAGACAATCATATCAAGATTATTTTTAGGATGGGGATGTAGCTCAGTGGTAGAGCACTTGCTTAGAAAGTCTGAGGTACTGCATTTCATTCATAGCATGGAAAGATTTTTTTGTCTCCCAGTATAAATAATATTACATCTTTCAATTAACACATATAATTAAACTATGATTTATTTTATTGATTTTAGTTCTTTGTTTATTTGGTCTTTTTGAGACAGGGTCTCTCTGTAGACCCAGTTGGCCTGGAACTCACTATGTAGACCAGGCTGGCTTTGAACTCACAGAGTTCCGCCTGCCTCTGCCTCCTGAGTGCTGGGATTAAAGGCATGCACCACCATGCTGGCCTTTAAACTGTGTTTTCTTTTAATACTCTAATGCCAGCTTGAAATTTTGCCACTTTTTCCTTCTTTAATGAGATAAAAATCCTTATTTCTTTCAATGTGTCCATGACAAATGAACAATAATAGCATCTTTATCCTCACAAAGGTTTAAGTTCATAATGAAATGTACTACATCTGCCCTTTCTGATAGATTTTTGGGATAATAAAATAATGAATGATATAAATGGGAATCTCATTGTTGTCTCCCCCCTACACACACACTGTGAGATAGGATCTCATGTAGCCCAGGCTGGCCTTGAACTCAATATATAGCCAAGGATGACCTTGATCTTCAGATACTTCTGCCTCCCACTCCAGAAGCTGGGATAACAGGCGTGTGTCCCCACACCAGGACTTTGCACATGCTAGGCAAGCACTCTACCACCTGAATTACATACCCAGGCCCCAAGTCTTTTTCTTATAGGGAAAAGGAAGTGCTGGCCATGACTGAGTAGTCCATCTTGACAGAAAAGAATAGAGTTTAGGTGGGAGTATGGGATGGCAGTGTGAAATATTCCTTCTCTTCAGTGTGTAAAACTAGAAAGCAACCGTTTAAGCATATTATGTTTTAAAAAGCAAGGAGAAGTTGGGTGTGGTGGCGCATGCCTTTAGTCCCAGCACTTGGGAGCCAGAGGCAGGCAGATATCTATGAGTTCAAGGCCAACCTGGTCTGCATAGTGAGTTCCAAGACAGCTGGGGCTACAGGAAAACCCTCTCTCAAAAAAAGACCAAAAAAAAAAGCAGCAAGAAGGGCTGGGAGTGTAGCTCAGCAGTAGAGCAGTCAGCCATATAAGGCCTTGGGTTGGATCCCCAGTCTCCCTACTTGATCCCCCCGCCAAAACAAAACCAAAAAAACAAGGAGAAAAGGATTAACAGATAAATGGTTGAAAGTGGAGTCAGATTAAGAGTGTATGAAAGTTTAATAATGAAACTCATTATTTTGTACAATTAATATGTACCAGTAATTTTTTTTGAGTGGAGAAGAGATCTGTGGTGGAAGGGGTGAATCTGGGGAGGGGTGACTGCAT